TGGGGGGGGGGGGGGGGGGGGGGGGGGGATGGGCAGGATGGCGTCTAACGCTAACGTTGTGGCTTGCTTACATTGTTCGGAACATGCGTATTGGAATTGGCACGTCTGTTTAGGGCTGGCAGATCCTGTGAGACTCAAAATAAACACAGTAACACCCGGAAAGAAAGGTGTTGTACTATTCACTGCAAAGACCTTCAACACAACCCCTCCGAGTACCACTACTTCGCTTTGGTACTATGTATGTATTTCGAGCGGGCAGCAAAGTTGAAGTCTCTATTGTGTGATTGCATGTGATTGGATGAACTTGTCTGTCCCTCGTCGACCGTGGCGTACAATAGAACTCGTTGCCTAATATGGAGTACAGCAGTGTACTAAAGAAAAATGGGGAATGACTGCTTGCACGCGTTATCACGAGACAGAAGTATGTGGCACGCCTCGAGTCTGTTCAGGGTCAATTCACTGAATTATTCGTCCTTCGAAGTTCATGTATTTATTATGTAGGACGAATCCATCTCTATCCACAGATACTACTGGAAGACGAAATCTGTAGCGTTGGCAGAGACACCTTCGTTATTCAGCGGGAAGTCGAAAGCTTAGACTGGACAATAATATCTCGGGCGTGTAGTACCAGCGCGCCAGGTCTGTCTTGCAAGTAGCTACTGGAAAGGCAGCCGAGGCTTATAGCCGAGGGAGATAGAGAGAGAGAGAGAGAGAGACATAGAGAGAGAGAGAGAGAGGGAGATTCTACATGCACCCTTATGTAATCCTACCGCTCTCTCACAACAGGTCACAAAATCGCGGCACAAACATAACCATGAAATCTGCCTCTACTTTGCTGCGCACACCTTGCAATCTCCTTGCATGTCCATAGCAGCTGCGGCACGGGCAGTGCAGAAACTTCGACGGCGAGATGGTGGGTTGACGCGCCGCAGATACGGCGGTTGATGCGTACGAAAGGAGAGAGAGAGGGGCAGGACAAAACTATCCACTCGAACTACTTCGTGGAAGGCGTTCGTCGCAATCAGAACTCGGATGAACATGCATGGGGATACACACGGACCAACCAGCTAACGCACGCCCCTACACCAGGACACCAGGACATGCTGATGCACAACTCGGCGCTTGCTCTAATGTATTGCCACCCTGGACGGAGCCCCTCGTAGCGCCCGGCATACCCCGTACGCCATTTTTCACAAACCAAGTGATTATTGATTCCACGGGTCCTCCTTTTCCACCGCTCGCATGCTGTGTTCCTCGCTCGCAGCTCGTGCTTGCTGGCTGTGGTGTTGGTTAATCTCGGCCTGCTCCAGGCGAGATCAATGCTAGACGCGCCCTGAGCGTGGCGGGCGGAAGATGGAAGCCCGCAACGTGTGGGTCGCTTGGCTTGCGCTCGAAACATTGAAGGTGGGTTTCACGGCGCGCTTGAACAGCGTGGACATGTGTTGTTTTGAAATTAGAAGCGAAGCCGCACCTAGCAAGTCATTGTGCGACCGCCCTTGGCTCCCCTGCGCCTGTTGCAAAAGGGGCCGCTTCTGAGCGAATCGTAGAGAAGAGGGTACTACTGTGCACACGAATGTTATGTAAGCATAAGGCGCACTAGGGAACTAGGGTCGTTTGCGTTGGAGTTGACGTGGGGTCCAGCTGCAGCGCCGGGCCATGTTACCGGGAAGCACGGCGGAGCCGCCGACCTTTGCCGACCTCCTTCACAGCAGTTCACCCCTTTCCTCTTCCTCAACAACAGAACAGCGATTCATCGCATGAAGCTGGTGAAGCTACGTAGTCTATGGTGCTAACCACTCTCTGACGCGTTGAAGCTGTCGCTGTCCAGTAAAAGACGCCATCAATTATTTAGTTGCTGTTGCAGCTGCCGCCGCTGGCTGCCGTTGGTAGAAGTATAAGAGCTGCCCCGACAAGTGCATGAATACAACGACGGCGTGAACGAAATTGCGGTCAGAGCACATGTTAGCGGCCCCCCATACGCTAAGTGAATACTCTCCTGGGTACACTCAAAGTATAATCGTTTGCGGGCACTCAAGTACAGATCACGCGTGATCTTTGGTGCGCAACAAGGGCAGATGTGAAACTTTTAGAACTTCCGGTTGCAAAACCTCCAACCCTCCTGCTGTTCCATTCCGCAGGCCCCCCTTTGCGGGTCTTTCGTGCTCCAACAAGCCCCGCCCCCCGGCCGCACCAAATACGAACCGGCGGCGGGCTCCCGCTGCTCCGCAGCAACTCCTCGGGCGCGCTGCTCTTGCTCGCGGGGCCTCCACGACCCCCTTCTTCGCCCGCTTCTGCGGAGCCCCCGAGCATCCTCCTCCGCCATAGCACCCCTCTCGGGAACGGCCGACGACGACACCCTAGGCAGAGATGGGGTTGGGAAGGCCGGGGACAAGCCGCCAGCCGCCTCCAGCGGCAGCTCGCACGAAACGGGCGGTGTAGGTACAGCAACGGGTGAGGCGGCGGTGGGGACCGATGTGGCCACGGAGACGCGGCGCCTCATGTCGGAGCCGACGATCGACATCAAGCTCGAGCTGCAGATGCGGGGCGTGGAGCACCGCGACGCGTTCGAGAAGGCGGATCTCGCCAGGCGTCTCGCCGAGGCCCGCGTTTCTTCTTGCGGCAACAACCCTTCCCCTTCCCCTGATGACGATGATGCGACTACTACTGCTACTACTACTACTACCACAGCGGCAGGACGCGACTTCGGCGGTGCCGCCGCGGACGGGCCGAGAGAGAACGCGCATCGAAGCAACAAGGCATCGACGATGATGGGCAACGAACCACAAGCAGCGGCGGCAACGGCGGTAGCCACAGAAGGCAGGGGGGCTGCACCGGATGGTGGTAGTAATCGCGCGTACGCCCGCGACGTGGCGAGGGGGACGCGCATGGGGAAGGCCGCCCTGGCGCGGGAGCTGAACGGGATGGGGATCGCGCACTCGCGCCTGTCGGACTTGTCCGTCCTGGCTCGCCAGTACGCCGCCAGGCGGCAGGAGGCGCGGGAGGACGCGCGTCGATTTCCACCCAGCTCCGCACGGGCCGGCAGCAGCTCTTCTGCGGAGGAGGACGGCGAGGGCGGTGGTGAAGGGCGGCGAGAGGGCAAGAAGGGCTCGGGTTGGCGGCGGGGGGGCGGGGAGGAGGAGGAGGAGGAGGGGTGGGGTGATGCGCGAGGGCAACGGGCCGCTTCTGGGCTTCCTTGGAGGTTCGGCAAGGAGGAGGAGGACGAAGACGAAGAGGATGAGGCGGCGGGGGTGGGGGATGCCGATTTTCCGCTTGGAGGAGGCGGTAGGGATGATGTCGGCGAAGACGGCAGGTCCGAGACGGGCTGGTCGACTCGCGCCAACGCTGGGAGCGCCGCCACTGCCGATGGCGGCGGCGGCGGCGACAAGGAGCGGAGCAGGAAGGCGGTCCTCCACGCCCGGGCCGACCGCATGAGCTCCCGCGAGCTCATGAAGGCCCTGGACGGGCTGGGCGCGCGGTACAGGATCCCGGCGCCGCGGGCGGAGCTCCAGCAGGCATTCGTGTCCGCGGTGTTGGCGGCGGAGGAGGACGAGCGCAGCCAGGCCGACGCTACGGCGGCGGCGGCGGGGACAAGAGGGAAGAATATTGTCGCGGTCAGCCCGTACGACACGCCGATCGAGGAAGGCGACGGGGGGCTCCGCGGTACGCAGGGGTTTGGCACGTACCACTCCGCTCTCCGGTGGGCGCGGCAGCTGAACTTCGACGACGTGCTGGACGAGCTGAGGTACAGGGGGGTGGAGCAGAGCCCCAGGGCCGACTATAGCTACTTGACTCGGCTGCTGGCGGACGAGGTGCTCGCCGACGAGGAGCTCATGGGAGGGGAAGGCGGACCGGAAGGTGTGGCTTATGGTTCGAACGTGGTGTTGGTTTTCTTGCAGGCTCCTGGTGGCATCGTTCGAAACCTCACCGGTTGAGTGTCGCCACAGTACGAGTGGTGTTTTTGTGCCGCTGGTTGCAACGGTTCGGAGCAACACAAAGCCTTGCAAAGTCAAGGGAGTTTGACAGAGGTGGAGGAGGCTGGTTGGCTTTTTGGTTTGCAACCGCGGCAGTGCTGCTTGCGAGGCAGGCGATTTGATTTTTGAGATTCGGGCGGAGGGCGGATTGCGGTGTGAAAGGATGCAGTGCGATGCAATGGGTTCAAAGTGGCACCGGAATGGTTGATCTGTCTGCGACGAATGGTGATCTAGATAGGGTACACGGTTTCTGGCACGGACAGCTTCGATGTGCTGTTCTGGCGTGTGTTTTCTTTGGAATGATTTCGTTGCCACCCCCTCTGCAGCGGTAGAAGTTGGTCGCGACTTTTACTGCTAGGTTTCTCCTTCCTGCTGACCCAACGCCTGGCAAATGTGTCGCTCAAAACTTTAAAATAGTATATCGAAATCCAACCTTTGTCCCCTTTCCCTTGCTTCTTGTTGACCCAACCAAACGTCCAACCCTTTGCGCCCAATGCCCATGGCTTCTTGTTGACCAAACCAAGCATCCAACGAACCATGCCCTTGGCCTCTTGTTGACGAACCAACACCAGCAGGAGCAGACGCGTACACGGCGGAGTTAGAGGCGGCTATGTCCATGAGCGCCCAGGAGATGATCCGTGACCTTCGCGCTGGCGGAGAGATTGCCGACGTTACGCTTAGCAAGGTATATATAATACAGGCGCATTTTATGTGTGCAATCGAGCTCGTGTGTACACGTACGTACGTACTTGTCTGCCGCCTATTGTACTCCTCGACCTGGTAGCGTGTGACGTGTGCACGATGATGGTACAAGCCTTTTCTTTCTCGACAGCTGCTGCTGCTGCTGCGGCCGATCGATCTACAGTCATACCCGTCTCAGTCTCGACAAACAAACCCCCCTCGTACGGGTTTCCGTAACAATCCTGCTTGTTGGGTCTTGTTGCAAGAGGATGAGTTGGTGGTCGTGCTTCTTGCCGAGACAAGTTTTCCGGGGAGTGTATGAGAAGTGCAAGACCGTGCTGAAACCAAGGGTGGCGTTTCGGCGTAGTTGTACTCAGTCGTCCCCGAGATGTACCTCCTTGCTGGAGTGCCGTAAGGAGCGAGAAGATACATGTATGGCACACCCCCTAGACCCATTTTTACAGCTCGATTGCTCCATAACCAAGATTGTGCCCCCAACACCAAAATGGTGGCTTTGGAACCATCTCTTCGAGGGCTCTTTCCGCACCTCCTTCGTCGTGGAGCAATTGAGCTAAAAAATAGTCGGTCTGGAGGGGGTGCCATCTCTTTCTCTCTCTCTCTCTCTCTCTCTCTCTCTCTCTCTCTCTCTCTCTCCGCCTCTTGCGGAATTATACAGCAGAGCAGTCGTAGTGTGTCGATTGCGGTTTCACCGTCACTGCGGTGGGTTTCTGGCAAAAGGCCAATCGAACCGGTGCTTTGAAAGCGACATCCACGCCATGTTCGGTAGAACCGAAACGGGGCCCATTCCGCCATGAACACGACACCAATCCCTCGACCACCACCGTCTGATATTTCACATTTTTTGGAATGCGTGTTGGTGTTGTCCGACCCGCTTGTTCACGCCCCCTGGAACCAGGAAGCGCTCGCCGAAAGGCTGGCCGAGATGAAGCTGCGTCTCCGCGGGGAGCCGCTGCCCCACAGCGGAAGCAGCGCCTCCTACTACTACCGCGAAAGCCCACCACCGTCGCAAGGCCGGGCACGCGGCGGCGGCGGCGGCGGCGGCGGCAGCGCGGAGGCTAGAGGACCGGCGGACCCGCTCGGCCGCCGTGACGACGATGAAGACGTGCTGCTGGAGCTGGAGGAGGCGGCCAAGTCGGTCGGGGGCGCGGCCCTCCTGGTCGCCAGAGAAGCGGCGGCCTTCGTCTCCGAAACCGCGGCCGGCTTCTTCCCCCCCCCCGCCGCCGACAACGACAACGACGGAGGGCGGAGCGCTTCGCCGTCGGCAGCGGGGAGAGCGGGGCGGGGAGCGGGCGGCGGCGGCGGCGGCGGCGCGCAAGAGACGGAGCGGTCGCGGCAGGTGCGAGCCGCGAGGCAGCGGGCGGGCGGAGTGCGGAGGGCCGCGACGGGGTATGCCCAGAGCTCGGTCAACCGGGCCGGGTTCGCGGTCCTGCAGAGCCTGGCGAACGGCCTGCTGAGGGGCGCGGAGGCGGCGGCCGACTGGGCGGGGGACGGCGCGCTCGCCCGCGAGTACGTGCTGCTGTTCATAGCGGCCTTCTGCCTGGTGTTCAAGAGGGGGGTGGGGGCGG